CCTGTGAGGTTTAGGATATATATACATTGACATAGGGGTGTACCTGTGAGGTTTAGGATATAGATTTAGATATATTCATGTACATAAATATGGGGAAACCCCTGCCAGGTTTATGATAAGGATATCGATTTAAATATGTATATACATAGGGAATCCCTGCGGGATGTAGGATGTAGATATGAATTTAGATATGTATGCGTGAGTGTGGGCGTAGACGTACACCTTAGTTGTCTGCCCACACTCACAACACATTCACAGCTTAACAAATAAGCTGGGGACCCATTCTCCTAAAAAGGGAGTTTAGATACGGTTGAGACTAATTTAGTTTCCAAAGGGATACTGCTATAATTCGGATTAAAATAAACAATGAATTGTATATCAAATGAAACCCCATCAAAAATGGGTTTAAAACTATGACTTATTATTTAATAGATGAGAATAAACCATAGAATTACAGCAGTTTTCGTGTTGTCCAACGATCTCATGAATAGATGACTACAAGAATATATACTTCTAAAAAATCGTTTTTATCTAATAAACTTTACAAAGCTCTCTTTGTTGATGTTTTTATTCAAAAATTCTTTTGAAATTTGACGAATAAACAACGACACCAGAGTCAGAATACAAGAATTTTTCAAACGCTTTCATTGATATATTTAAGATGTATGTTCAATATTTTGACTTCAGTATCGTTATTTATTCCCTAAATTTCAGAAACGTTTTTGCTAAAACGATCAGCAAAGAAAATTCTACAAGATCTCATAACTAAAACAAATTTTGAAAGTTTTATATTTTTGTTGCTGACCATTCGATCCAAGGAAGTGCCTGATCAAATAAATACTCGCTATAACACTATAGCATACATTCATCGTTTGAATGACGAGTCAATACTTCTGAATCTCGCTTATAAATAAGCTGGTATTTAGTATATAATTTATTTTTTGTGGTACTTGAAATAATAGTGATATTTCCGCGGATAAGATATTATATCCGACTCTGTATATACAGTGAAGAATTAATTTATAGAGCTACAGACTTACTTTCTAGAAAGAAAAGGGAGTAACGGTGAGTGCTTCGGTAAGAACTGAGATATGCTAATTTTGTTTCCTTTGTTCAGTCATAGTAAGCTATCTTATCAGTGTGATGTTGAGAAGATATGTGCTCTGGATTAAACTGATGGTGTTGATAGTTATGGCTCATTCGGATAACGAGTTTGCTTTTTTTGAACCCTACAGATCTATCTCTTCTCTGAGAAGTTTGCATTTTTTATTTAGAATTGAGAATGAATTAGATAAGACGATAGAGTTTATCTTCTATAACTTTTATATTTCAATAACACAAAGTCAAGATAATAAGAAAAGATCATAAATGTTTAAGTATATGCAAATTTAATGATGAATAGACACATCTGCTGCTGTTCATAATTTGTGTTAGTAGTTAACGTGTTCATGATTTGTATCTTATTAACATCTTCAATGTGAAAGTTTGATATTCAATTGTTTTGCTTTATTTATATTCAGAATATCGATCGTTGTGGTTGAGATGATATTTATCAAACATTCCAATCAGAAGTTGTTAATTACAAGTCAATTCACGCTGAACATCACAGAATTGATCATTTATTGGAATAAACAGTATGTATTTTCTACGTTTTCTTTTCCTAAATAGATGCAGGTTCATCTGATCTCTGCTTTGAACGGAAGTTCTCTTGTAAATTTTTCCATGAATTATTTTTCACAAGTTTATTTTTGTTCTGAAGTCAGTTGAACAAAGATATGGAAATAATATTTTTGTCTCCGAGATAATACTATTTTCTTAATCTAACTTTATTCTCTCACCATAGATCTTCCTCCGTAATGTGGATATAAGTGTTGTGATTGTCTCTGATCTACACTTAGATGCACACTCACACTATACTAACTTAACGTAAGATAATGACAGTTATTTCTGTTAATGATATTTTCAGTTGTTTTTCAAACAAGACAATTAAATAGCTTCCTGGTTTCTACAAGAAACGCGTTAGTTTTCAATAAAGATCGTTCAATTAACTGTTGCTATTCTGCGAGGAACCACTAGCTTCTGAAATTTAGATTAGGCGATTCAGATCGTACGCCAACTAGATAATTAAACAATCAATTTATAGGACATTTTCGGTAATTTCCTTAAGTCTCTAAGAAGATTATGAATTTCCTTAGTTCAATTTTTCATCCGCGCACATATTTGCCTATCTGATTAGAAGGAATGTTTTGAACATACGGCTGTTTGATCTAAAGGTGTTGGTTATTTCAAACTAGAATTGCAGTCCATATTTGAGTTTAAATTACGACTTCATCCGTATTTAACATCGATTCTAAATAGAGTTAAGTCAAGAAAGACAACAAAATGTCAAATTATACTGACTTTTTCTTTGAGAATACACAATAAATGAACTTTTCATCATTTATTTGACCATATACACAGAAATTACCATATATTAGTCGAAAAATACTCGAATCTAGATCTATCGATTACAAAAAAACATAAATTTATCTACTCTCTGTTGCTTAGCATGTTAGATTAGTATGAGTACTACTGTTAGGATGACAACATCTTATTCGATACTACTATATTCCATTATTATTCATTAAAATCTAAAAACATTCATATCACTATTTTATTAATATGTTACTTATTGGATTTAGCAGTGAAGTCACTTCACTGAAGTGAACTTCAATCCTATTTAAGTTAAACTACTCTCACAAAACTGCTGCTTTGTCTTAGACTAATATTTAAACTACTTATATAATTCATTCTAGTGTCAAACAATACAAAACCTGCTTCTAAAATATGCAAAAAATTAGAGTTTTTTTTTCTTAATCTTAATTTATTTCCATCTGTTCCACCAACTACCGATGAACATCAACTTCGAAATCAACACATTTCAACAAGATTATTTAATTCTTTATTAATTATATCATTATCTATCCTTTTCTTATATATTTCATTGATAAATATTACAGAAACAGTTAATGTCAAAGCACCGTCTATCGAAGAATATTCGCAACTCTATCATTCATATAGTCAAACATTAACATGTGAATGTACACAAATATCGATCAACTATAAAAAATTTATTCAAATTCAATACACATTACATCAGGTGTGTCATAGTGACTTTGTTACACAAGGTTGGATCCATTATCTTACTAAATCACATGGAAGCGATAGAGCATTTTATGACACCTTTCGAACGACGGGCACATTTGTATTTCAAGCCTTATCTACATTTTGTGTCCTGGTTGATGAAACAATATCGAATAGTTTAACTCAGTTCTATTCAACTCAATATGTAAGTGCATATGTCACACCCGAAAAAGTATTTCAATTACAGATCGAAGCATTTATATCTCAATTCATATTATCAACAACAAATCAATTTTTGTTATCACTCTCCATGATACGAAAAACAACTCAAAGCAACGCTTTGCTCTCTGGACAACTCACTAATTACAGAGTCTATCTTGATGTCCATGATAATTTTACAACACAATCTGCCAGATACAATGATTGTACGTGCACTTCTTCAGCTACCTGCATTAATCAATATGTAGTTATTAATTATCCTAACTTCACGCAAATATTTCTTTTACCAGGTCTTTATACAGGATGTTATATAACTGAATCATTACTTCAATCTAGTCTTGAATGTTTTTACGATCAAGTCTGCCTAAATACCGTACAATTATACTTGCAATCGTCTGCATTTATAAATGTAACAGCTCTTGATATATCATTGTCCGTCCAGTTTTTAGAAAACTCAACAGTTGCAGATATTCTTGATCAATTGATGGTTGAAGAATGGATTAATTCAAGCATTTATGAAAATTATTACAATGAGTGTCAACCGTCAGGCTGTAGTTATACTGTTACGTCGAAGAATAGTGCAATATATATTGTCACAACTCTGATTGGATTAGTTGGTGGTCTGATTACAGTGTTAAAACTTACGGTGCCCATGTTAGTCAAGTTCGCAAGGAAACGTATATACAAAGAAGAAAACACAGAAGCCGGTAAGAGATAAAAATATCTTAAACAGTGTTATATGCAGAATGTATGCGCACCCAACTCGTAGAATGCAGAGAGAAGAAGAGGTGATATTGTATGAATGAGAACGTCATTCTAATTGGTTTAGTAAAATAATTCAAAACCAGCATTTCTTGAGTGGAATTCGACATAACATGAAACAGTTGAATAGACAAAATAGCAAAAGTTTATAACATCTCTACCATGATCTATACTGAGGGTTATGATTACCTATTCCTCCATTTTGTGTTACATAGAACTCTTTAGTCTTTGTCTTTGTTAGAGATTTTCACGAGTTATCTCATTTTTATTGAATTCTGTCCGTTGGTGAACTCGATTTATTACTCGTGCATAGCTCGTGAGCTAAGTATCCGAACATCCTACAGAATAGAGGCCATTACAAAGTGTGTTTGTTTCACAAACTACAACTTTGAATGTATACTTCAGTTGGAATCAGTTGTTGCTTTGATTAACAAACACACTGCATGTTGTTGAGTTTTTACTTGATTTGTCCTCGTTTTTATATCTTGTCAATAGAGTTTAGAGAATAGAAGAGAGATATTTGATTAGGAAGCCTCAAACAAATCAACTTATATTTCTTTAGTATCCAATAATTAACGTATCTGTTCCTCAAAAGTACTATCATATACATAAATAGTCCTTTCTATCCATGGAGGTACACACTATGATTCATTTTAAAGTCGATAATATTCGGTTCCCACAGTACTCTAAGATACAGATGTCCCTTCTCGTCTAATTAGCATTGAACATCTAGTCAGATAAGAGAAGCTGCAGAATTCGAGTCACGAGAAGGAATTGTTTGTCTCATTGTGTTGTACATGTAGGCAGGTTCTACATGGCTCACATATGATATTTGGAAGTTACAGAGAATAATCATTTTTTCCCACTATTCGCAATTGGCTACCAGTATGAACATGTCATAGGAAAGTTAGTTAACAGAATGTCACCTTTTCACATTGATGTCAGCAGGTGTACTGGAATAGGTGTTTTACTGGTAAAATCAACTAGAAATACATTTCGGTTAACTTTAATTAAATAATTTGTAAGATTGATAATCTGTCTAGAGTTCGTAATATTTTAATAAACAGAAGATTGTCTAGAGTACTTTTTATGCTCTCTTAATATTCTATCACTATAACTTTTCTAATACTCTTTCATTTTTTAAGAAACATTGGTACAAGAACCGAATGTCAGTATATTATACAAATTAAAACATTATCTTTCAACATTCAATATCTTTCCATCTGTTCCACCAACTACCGATGAACATCAACTTCGAAACCAACGTATTTCAACAAGATTATTCATCTTATTATTAATTATATTATTATTTATTCTTCTCTTATATACGTCACTGATAAATATTACACAAACACTTACTATCAAAGAACCTTCTATCAAAGATTATAAACAACTCTATAACTCATATAGTCAAACATTAACATGCGAATGCACACAAATATCAATCAATTATGAAAACTTTATTCATATTCAATACAAACTACATCAAGTATGTCATAGTGATTTCGTCACACAAAAATGGATCGATTATCTTGCCACCTCATATGGAGACAATACACCAAAGTACGCCGACTTTCGGGTGACAGGCACCTCTACATTTCAAGCTGTAAGCGCGTTCTGTACACTAGTGAATCAAACAATATCGAATAGTTTAACTCAGTTCTATTCAAGTCAATATGTAAGTGCATCTGTAACACCCTCAAATCTATTTCAACTACAAACTGAAGCATTTATATCTCAATTCAAATCATCAACAACAAATCAATTTTTGTTGTCACTCTCCATGATACGAAAAACAACTCAGAGCAATGCTTTACTTCCTGGACAACTGAGTAATTTCCGATTTAGTATGGACCAGAAGATATCATTTTTAGCTTACTATCCACGATCCTACGGCAATTGTACGTGTTCTTCTTCGGCTGCTTGCGTCACTCAATCTACAATTTATGAATTATTAAACGACACAACCTTATTTTCTTTATCAGGTTTTTATACAGGATGTTATATAATTGAATCATTACTTCAGTCTAATCTTCAATGCTTTTATAATCAAACTTGCATCAATAAACTACAATCTTATTTTCAAACATCTTCATTTATGAATGTGACAGCTCTTAATATATCCTCGTCCGTCCAGTTTTTTGAAAACTCGACAATTGCAGATGTTCTTGATCAATTGATGGTTGAAGAATGGTTTAATTCAAGTATTTATGAGAATTATTACAGTGAATGTCGACCATCAGGCTGTAGTTATACTGTTACGACGAGGAATAGTGCAATATACATTATTACAACTCTGATTGGATTAGTTGGTGGTTTGATTACAGTATTGAAATTTGTAGTACCAAATTTAGTCAAGTTGTTTAGAAGAAAAAAGGCAATCCGAAGAGCAGAGACAGGTAAGATCAAACTGAAAATAGTTTTGTGTACAAAATAAAAAGGAATAATGTGAGAAGTAAACATATTTATTTCTCGTTCAACAACACACTAATACCAATGATGTTTCTACTTTTGTTGAACTTCCGAGACATTATTACAAGATTTACGAACAGATGAGCCAGGGTAAGGATTGAGATATATATATCTCATGATTAGTACAATACCCTATGTTAACTGCTCAGGTGTGAGTATAGATGAACGGTTATCAGTCTTCTCTCATTCCACACCAATACCCACACCCCACATATTTACCCAATCATCTGTATCGTTATCATGCATTTAATATATGTTACAGTCTATTGAACGGAGTAAGAGAAATCGAATTGTTAGTGCTATATATCAACATTTCTTATGAATCTTCTGTCATAGAAATTAATCATTTTTTTCTTCTATATAAGCTGAGTTTTTATTTTCGTATTTCTTTTCAAGTGATGAGCAACAATAAACGTGTTCGAACATTTTACCAAAAAACGAAGCTTTTCGTTTTTAATCTTAATTTATTTCCATCTTTTCTACCAACTACCGATGAACATAAACTTCGAAACCAACGCAGTTCAACAAGATTATTTATCTTCTTCTTAATTATATCATTGGCTATTCTTCTCTTATATACATCACTCATAAATATTACACAGACAGTTAATGTCAAAACACCTTCTATCAAAGAATATTCGCAGCTCTATAACTCACATAGTCAAACATTAACATGCGAATGTACACAAATATCAATTAACTATGAAAAATTTATTCAAATTCAATACACATTACATCAGGTGTGTCATAGTGACTTTGTTACACAACAATGGATCGATTATCTTGACTACTCGTCTGAAAACTATAGCGTATATAAGAATGATTTTCGATCGTCAGGTGCATCTGTATTTCAAACTTTGAACACATTTTGTACACTACTGAATCAAACAATATCGAATGGTTTAATTCAGTTCAATTCTAGTCAATATATAAGTGCATCTGTGACACCTGAAAATGTATTTCAACTACAAACTGAAGCATTTATATCTCAATTCAAGTCATCAACAAAAAATGAGTTTTTTTTATCACTCGCTATGATGCGAAACATTACTCAAAGTAACACCTTATTCAGTGGCAGACTAACCAATTATGTCGTTGGTGACTACGGCGGTAATATAATTCGAGGTCCACGGTCGTACGGTAATTGTACGTGTCCTTCGTCAGCTACATGCATTATTCAATCTGCAATTTATGAGTTATCGAATGACACGCTATTATTTTCTGTTCCGGGTGTTTATACAGGATGTTATATAATTGAATCATTACTTCAGTCTAATCTTCAATGTTTTTATAATCAAACTTGCATCAATAAACTACAATCTTATTTTCAAACATCTTCATTTATGAATATAACAGCTCTTACTGTGCCATTGCCTGGTCAGTTTTTGGAAAACTCAACAGTTGCAGATGTTCTTGATCAATTGATGGTTGAAGAATGGATTAACTCAAGCATATATGAGAATTATTACAGTGAATGTCGACCATCAGGCTGTAGTTATACTGTTACGACAAAGAATAGTGCAATATACATTATTACAACTCTGATTGGATTAGTTGGTGGTTTGATTACAGTGTTTAAACTGATGGTACCATATTTGGTTCAGTTTATTATGTTTTGCATTAGAAAATGCAAAGGTGGACGTGCTACAATAATGCCAATGATCCAAACATAATTAGTTTTTACGCTGACGCGAAACACATTACAAATGATAAGTTTTGATGTATAATGAAAACATTAAAACTGATAATTTTTTGATAGAAATGTCAGAGGATGATACATATCGTTCTTCTCTTTTCTTTCACGTATATCTTCTCGTTTTGTTCTCTACACATATATTCTTTCTATTTTATTTGTATTTCTTTAACTTCACACTTTTCAACTTTTATTTTCTCCTTTCATCATCCCTCTCATTGTTACCATTTCATTATTTTTCTAGTTGCTTCAGTTTGTTTTTGTAACACTGACTAGTCATTGATATTCTCGCGCAGGAATGTCAGCTTACCATTTAAGTTAATAAAATTAGAGTCCTGCACGGGTGCACTTTTTTGTACCCAAAACCGAACCGGTAATTTGTTTTACGCCCGGACCCGACCCGACCCGGTCTACTCAGTTATTTTTCAAAGGTAATTGATGATGAGAATAGTAATTTGTGAATTTCAAATATAATTTGTTCTTCTCGTCACAGTTAGTATGAGAATGGTGTTGAGTTCGGAATGCAAGAAATTAACTGAAAAATAAAGTTTATAATAGAAATAGGGCTTT